ATATATATATATATTGCAGCACTGAAAGTAATACAAATGTATCACGGTCAGCAAGAACAGAGTTGAAAGGCTTTGAATGCTCTTCTGGGATGGGACCACCGCAGTTCCGTAAGCAACGAACCAGAAAAATAATATTGGCACTTTAACGGTGACATCTGAATGGGATGTGGGCAGGGAATGGGGGGACGTGCAACCTCTAGGTTCGCAGGATGTGAGACGAAGCCTCCATGTGGTAGACCTCCCATCTCAGTTGCCAAGTGTATGAATTAAGTCAAATACGATAGCAGCTCGTGACCTGTAGAGCTTTAAGGATTTGGAGAGAGAGTTAATAACTTATCGCTTAATGAAAAATGGGACCGAGAGATTCAGTTCTAACTAGATGATGACCATTGCAAGAGATTGCAGGGCAGCGCAAGAGCAAACAAGCATGGCTACCGGGTGTTCTTGAGATGTCAGTGGTTGGGTTCTTCCAAGCCATTGCCAAGGTGGCAGCCATTTTTATTCCCGATCCTAAGTGGAATAACTGATGCCTGACTTGGCTTCAGAGCCTCTCCATCCCTTCTCCTTGCCTTGTGATTTGCTTTAACGAAATACTGTAATAAGCGTGTGCACTGCGTGAGGATTCTTTTTGAAAGAAGACCCAGTTCCCCCATCACTCCATATATCCACAGCTACTTTGTCACTTTAGTAATCCAGGATCAAATTTAATGAGTTCCTTCACATTTGTTTTTACAAGAATCTGATGGCATGTACTAACAAGACATTAACTGTTCCATTTTTTAAAAAGCATGTACGTTTACAACAGAAGTAAGACAAAATATAAACTTTTTCTACTTACAATAATTCTATACATATCGTAAGAACCAAATCACAAATCTGTCACACAATAGAAATGTTATCATGTAACATACGGGAAACCTTTATAAAATTCTGCTTTCGTTTCCGGTTTTAAATTAACCATTAACTAAAACTAGCTATGCAGGCTGCCTGGGGTACATGACTAAGGCACCAACAGTACAAAGCAATATAAAAGCAAAAAAGTTATTTCCTTAGGAGTGCTTTACACTGACACACCACGAGAAAAGGCAGAAGTAGTAAATAAACTTGTTGCAACCTTTGCATGTTCGTTCTCGGATGGCACAATTTCTTCTACTTTTCATCCAAACTGACATGGTGATCTTCATCAAGGTCCACGTTTCAGTACTTCAATTTGCCTCACCTTGGTGCTCTTCAGATTCTTGGCAATGGCCTAGCTGGATGGAGAATTCCAGGAGATGACAACCATCTCTCTGGAGGGCACGTGGGCTGGGGACAATTACTGTAATTCTGTGAAAATTGCTTCCTCAAAATCTAAACATAAACTTATGTTTAGGCTTTCCTTGGACCCTTCAGTTACTCTTCAACTGAGAACTGCATCAAAACATTGCTTTATGAGCTCGGAAGTATTATGCTAGGCCTGACTGACCTGAGTTCCTTTTAAATGGATTTCAAATTTACTGCATCTGCAGGAACTAATTTAGCCTTAAGAAATTGAAAATATCCCTGTGATTCCTTGCATGAACAGGAGTACGCTGTTTACTGGCAGAATACGAGGCCCACACGTCTGAACGTTCCTACCTTCAAACTCTAGAATCTTTAAAGTTACCAACAGCAGGGCTGAGAATGGTTTCTGCACAACAATTTGGGGGATTTACTGCCTGTTAGGGGGTTTTACATATTGCTTTCCATTACTAAATCACAATCAATCACAATTGGTAAGGTACACCCAGGTCTACTCCTGACATCGTGGTACAACCAGAACTCCTAGAATGTTCAGCATGGCCAACATGGTGGCAGGGAACTCTGGGAGTTGTGGTCCCAAACATCGGGGGGGGTAGGCTGCCATATTATATCACCATCTTTGTAAACTATGAGGTTACTTTTAAAACTAGAACGTTTGGACAGCTTATATATCTTGTGGCCAGTGGGGTTCTGTGAAGAATGGGTATCAACTCAGTAAATCTTCCATATTGCCCAATTGATCTGCATAGTCTCAGAGGTGAAGATCATCTTATCCAAAGTATTTTGTAAATGGCCAGCAAATGGTTCATTCGACTCATATTAGCTCAAATATATGGATTCCATATATCAAAGCCTTCTGAATAAGCATTAATACAATTGCATATTCTTTACTTTTAATATATTTTCTAGTACACAGAAATAAATGGAATAAGAAATAATGTATTAAGATAATACCGATATAAGCATTTCTTTTTTAAAAAAGACATCCTGTTCTGTCACAAGATCTGCTTTTAGTGAACAGTTAGTGGCCTGAAGTCAATCTGATGTTACAGACAGAATGAACACTGCAGAGCAGAAACTTTTAGTATATTCTGTCTATAGCTTCCTGTATCAAATTGTAAATTGCAGGTGGAGTGGATACTACAAAACGTAATAAACAAAATCAACAAAGCTTTCAATTCCTGTAACAAAACTGCAGAGTCATTTGACTTGTAACAGTCTAAAATCACCACATTAATGCTATAATAATGATGCAAGTAGAGCACCAAGTACAACTCAACTCAACTGGGAGTTGCCATTATGGTAAACTCTGTTAAAAAGTCAAAGACAGATCGTACAGAGGTCTGAACAGTCGTATGAAGCTGCAGAGAAACTGGGACCCGTCAAACATTTTCCAACAATGTTCCCAACATGTGCTTTTAGCAGATCAAATGAGTTAACAGAAAGCAACTTTTGGAGACACACATTTATTACGTTTGGTTTAGCAGGTTAGTTCCTTATTTATTAATATAAAATGTTGTGATCTGTAAACACAATATAAACCTTTATATACACCTTCTGCAGCCTCCGATGCACCTAAAGTGACCAAAACTGCAATTCTATTCTTATTTCCTAACAGTCTCACTGAGCAAAATGGGATTTTGGACCGAGCTGCGTGAACCAGTGAAACTAGTTATCTAACAGCTGATCAAGCTGAGAACCATAATGCCACATTACTTCCTTAACAGAGAAAATCTTATTCATCTCAGGACGTCTGCATAACGATTGGCCCACCGAATCTACGCTAAAGACTTTCTCGATGACGCTGGAAGTAAAATTAATGCAAGCAACCCCAAAGCTACAATAGCAAGATTCCCATTAAAAATTCTTCCAAAGGCAAATAAAATTATTTGAAAAGGTAAATGTAAATATACAAGATGAAAATTTATTTTTTGATTAGTAACAAGGGCATTGCAGTTCATCGTTTAAGCCGTCTTTATACAACCTAGTCTTCACTGCTGCCAAAATACAACAGAGCAAAAAGATGGAACAGCTAAAACGTGCTATTCCCCCCAAGGAAACGTTCTTTGTTGGGGAGAATTTCATTTAACACAATTAGAGGTAACTCTTTTTTTTTTTCAACTTCAGCTATGTGGCACTTAAGACAATCATCTGTGCACAGAAAGCTTTTAACAGTCATGCGAGGACACAGTCATCATCTTAAAACAAGGTCATTTCTCACCACAGAGCAGTGGGGAAAAAAGTAAATGAGGCACCGCACTGGAACATAACATCTAGTAAACTCCACGTTATACAGTTTCAGAAACAAATACTTGAAGAACTATCATTAAAAAAAAAAAGCAGAGTATTGATGAAACGGAACCAAATGACAGGTTCATTTGGTGGGCCCAGGTCAGCGTTCTTGATAATGCAACTTAATCAGTTGACTGAACAAGAGGTCCAGAGTTATAAATTCTGAAAGCACATTGGAACAGGAAAAGTTACAGGAAATAAATGTGAGATGTTGACATGCTATGGAAACAGGACATTCTCACTTTCTTATTTAAAGATGCAGTGTTCCTTTCTCAGAGCCCACCACATACATTCAAAGGAAAGGTACCAAGTGAGCTTCAACGATTCCTAGTATCTGGATGGAGTTTACAGTATTCACCAAAGCTTCTCTGCTAATATATATTACACCTGGGTGCGTTTCCAAAAGAGAAATCCATCAAATATTAGATTTCATTCTAAGTAATTTTTGCCATGCTGAAAAGTACTGAAATTCTAAGTAGGCAAGGAGCATGTCCTGTTGAAATCAAGGAGATTTGCTTCTAGATAAACAGGTGGCAATATGTATCTTGCAAATGTGGTGTCAGAAAATCCAGGAGTACCATTAAAAGTTAAGATTGCACAAGTACCTACGACCTCTTAAAGTGGGGAGAGAAGGGGTTTTTTTGCCTGGTTTGCTGAGACGTCTCAGCATTAAAATGACCTGCATTAATTTATGCCCAGAGGAAAAAATAAACACATAAATACAGTGTATGCTTGAATCCGTCCTCTCGTACTGTGCATGTCAATAAACCATGGCAAGCTTAAAGAAGTGCAAAAGTGTAGAGAATGCCCCTGACTTAAAGTGCCCTCAATGTTCCTTAATTTTTTTTTCTTAAATGCCATTACAAAATCTAGAAAATGAAAATGACTCAAGGTATAAAATATCCCGCCATCGTAAAAGATCAGAAACCAACACTGCATCTTTCAAACCAGAAAGGGAAGCTGTTTAAGCCTATAATCTATGGGTATATATAGAAAGACAGTACCTGCAAAAGATCGGTATGGATTTTACACGCAGGAGTATTGGTAACGTTTCTTCAGGCATAAATAAAGAATCAGTTGAAAACATAGAAAGCCAGGACTACCATAGAAATGGCCCTCCTGAATGGCTTGAAATGTTAGTGGATAAGCTGAAGTAGGCCACATCATATGACCACAGAGAAAGAACCAGGAAGAGAACATCTATGAAGCGTATGCCCAGCCCTTTAATTCCTTTATCCTACAAAAAAGACAAAGGGGGAATGTTTTAATGGAGAACAGAGCACACGCGGACAGAATAGAGGTCATACAGTAGTGTGTACTTGAGACTAAAAATAAATTACATTCCTAAAAAATACAGGGCAAGAGTACCAAAGTTCTGGATTCGTTGGATCCTGCCCTCCCCAAGACTCCGAGAAATACATAAAAACAAAGCAGGCAAATTATGCAGACAATATAGGCAAAGCTACTTGGATCAATTGCAGGGGGACCATTACATTTAAATTATTCCATATTCCCCAATTGATCCAGAGAGCACTTGGTGATGTCTGCAAGAGGCAAGTCTTAAAAGAGAAAATCCAAATTTAATGAGGAAATTAAACATCCCAGGAAAGACCAACAGAATGTTTTCTGTTCCCTTGATACTCTTTCAGTTGAATGCTGTTTGATGTTCTTTAAGCCTACAAGAAATTCTTGCACAGGTAAAAGGTTATTCTTTCCCCTTTTGATTAACATTAGGGCAACTCAGCAACGTCTAACAACATGATCTAACTAGTCACAACTCGCCCATGCCTAAGATATGCCTAGATTCATTCCGTGGCATTTCCACTAGAGCTAGAAGATCCCACCTCTCAGCTTAGTCAATGTATAGGTAGTCTGATGCTGGAAAAATTAACCAATTCACTCTAAGAGATCTTCCTAAATTCTTAACTGAACAATGCTGTTCATCAAATCAGAGTTCTGCAATCAGCAGCCCAACCACTGATTTTAATGGAACTTGCTCACAGATTTACGTCCATGGGATTGCAAGCCAGCTTGTTGCAATGAGAAATTTTTGTGCTGAAGTACATTTTTTTTAAAAGTCCCAAGAGACCACTAGGCATTTAATGGAGAAATAATATATTTACTTGAGTTACTGATCAAATCTCAAAGGAATCTTGCCCTTACAAGAGTTACTGTTTATCTGGCTTCACCACACGAAACCAATTCTTACTTTATGTTACCTAGAAATTATTGATTTTCCTAAAAGTCAGTGGTTTTATATCACTAACAACTTTTTGAAAATATTCTATCCACTTAAAATTTGCCATTTTTTCTCTTCTCTCTTCTAACACATGAAAAATGGCAATACATTCTGGGTAGAACTTGCCTTAGCTTCTGAAGGCAGACACACAAAGTGTTTTTTTAAAGCAAAAAGTCTGATATGTCAGTTTTTGCTACACAAATTTACTAAATATTCTGTTATCATTGATTTTCCTAAAAGTCAGTGGTTTTATATCACTAACAACTTTTTGAAAATATTCTATCCACTTAAAATTTGCCATTTTTTCTCTTCTCTCTTCTAACACATGAAAAATGGCAATACATTCTGGGTAGAACTTGCCTTAGCTTCTGAAGGCAGACACACAAAGTGTTTTTTTAAAGCAAAAAGTCTGATATGTCAGTTTTTGCTACACAAATTTACTAAATATTCTGTTATCTAAGTGTATGAACTGAGTACTGGTCAAACCAGCAAATTATTCTTCCTTTATTAAGGAAGACTACAATCTCAATGTGTGAGAGGAAAAAAAATCAATAGGCATTTTAGGAAAACAAACTAAAGTCATTACAGGCTTTTGTAGTGCTTTTCTGAATTCTTCCAGATATTTTGTCAGAATGTTTGAATAGCCATTTGCGGCTACTCCATGTGTTCCAAACAGAGTTAATTTTTAAAAAGCAGTTCTCTTTAGAAAGACTTAATGACTGACAAGTCATAACTGAGATTATATATAATAATTTAATATTTACCAATGATTACATTAA